AGCAATGCCGAACAAACGGTTCTTCTGTGTACGTAATGTGTACGGAGTGAACACTACAAATGGACGCACGACCCGTTATTGGTTTGTAGTAAATAATAGACACGTACGTTGCGTTCACCGTTTATTGACACACTCAAGTGAATACTTACTTACAAACATAACACCTCCACCCTTATTTACTACACATTATAAGCACAATTAATATATATATATATATATATCTTAACTAAGCGTACATAACAAACTAAAGTAAAAAAAAACAAAGAGAGGTTATAACTATATACTTAATCTATTTCCTCGAATCCATATCTAACTGGTGGCTTGCGTATTCTTACAGGACGTTCACGTTTGGGTGTCACATTTTCATTGATACTCTTACCACCAGTATTACATGCTCCCTTGTCTATCGGCACAGCGGGTCTCATAGGGCTGCCACGAATAGGCGATACAGCATCCTGTGCCGGTGTGCTATTTTTTGGTGGTGAACTACTCTTCCCCGAATCGTTGACCACCGCCACTGGTTCCTCGCCACTTGTCATGGGAAATGATAGCGACTTACGTGATTGTGTTCTTAAGTCTAAATTTTGCGCGATCAGTTCGGGACTTATATTTTTACGAATCGACGCAAAGGTATCAACTTTATCTATATTTTTTGTAACCCTTAATTTTAGCTGATCGACGTGCCTATGATTCTCGGTTCCAAAACTAGATCGTACACAGTAATCACGACTACCTAATTGCTTGAGGATCGTCCCAGGTACCCATTTATCCAGACCTCGATAATCCCGATACCACACCTTAGTGCCCGGCTCGAGTTGTCGCTGCACACCCCCTGCGTTTTGCTCGCTCCGCTCTTGTTGCGCGATAACTCGAGATTGCCTTTCTGGTTTTAAATTATCTAATCTCATACGGAGACTTCGACCCTGTAATATATTGGCTGGACTATCGCCGGTAGTTGCATGTTCTGTATTTCTGTAGGCTAATAAAAATCTACACAGAGCTGTATCTACGTTTAAATTCTGTTTTAATGCCTTTTTAATCGCACGTTTACAAATTTTAACTGCATTTTCAGCGGCCCCATTAGAGGCGGGATGATAGGGAGCTGAATAAATATGTTTTATGCCATTATGAATCAGAAACTTCTGAAAATCAGAGCTCGAGAAAGGCGGTCCATTGTCACTGACCGTTTGCTTTGGCAGGCCGAATTTTGACCACAAGTCCCGCAGTACCGATATAACCGCTTGTGCCGTTGTCCTCTGCATTTTAATTGCCTCTATCCATTTGGAGCATGAATCCACTACAACTAGATAAGTGACTCCACCTATGGGGCCTAAGAAGTCTAAGTGTAACCTGGACCAGGGGCGTGAGGGCCAGGGCCACGAGCGGGGCGCGTGTGTAGAAGGTGCGTCTGCGACGGCAGCACACACGGTGCAAGCGCGACATTCCGTCTCGAGCGCTTCGTCGATTCCCGGCCACCAAACGTAACTACGTGCTAGCGATTTTGTTTTCACTATGCCCATATGCGGATCATGAAGCTCCGTTATTATTTTGTTTCTGCATGAAGAGGGTATAACCACACGATGACCCCACATTATACAT